GCTACGTGTGCTGTTAGAATTTGAATTTACATCCGATTCTATACTACGAACTACGTATGCTGCGTGTAACAAGTTGCGCAAGTGGGTTATGGTACTTAAGGTTTATTTTCGCTCCCAGTCAGTACGCATTCTGAGTAGTCAGTAGGTCTGTATTCGTTCCGACAGAGGACGGTTCTAGGACGGTTCAAATTAGTTGACCATTTCATTCAAGAACAACTAGGCGAAGAGATATTGACACTTTAGTTAGGTAACTTCTGAAAGAAGTAAAACTATATTGGTTTAAATCTGATGTGTACCTACCAATCTACTATTATTGGCTTTACTTTTTTTTAGGTATTAGGTATATATTTAGGTATTTTAGATCTTTATTTATTATTATTACAGATATATATTATTTTTGAGGTGTAGTTCCACACACATTACCAAATTATGTTTAAGATGACTTCTACTGTAGTTATAGTTTTTAGCAGAGCATTTCTCTTTAATTGGAGTAAAATTTCATGTTCATTCCTTTTCACTTAAAAACAAATAATCGGCATCAATTTTAAAGTATATTTATTAATAACGGGAATTACCTCTAATATGGGGAGAACCGGCATTATTACCGAGGTCCTCGTGTATTGCCTATGATGCTGGGACTCTCGTCTCTTGCTCGCTGGCAAAGAGGCAAACGGGATATTTGAATGTTTCCCTCATCAAGTCATCACGCCAACTTCAACGGACGCTTGAGAGTGTGTACGTCGCGCTGGCCGGTTGTCCTCCATCAAAGGCGAAGTTGCTGGAAATGGGGACAACAAACTAATTATACCTTTTTCCACTTTTGTACAATCTCAGGATGGCACGGTTTCTAGAGGTTTTCAACTGAGTCTAGGTCACAAAATGTTTTTGTTACATTTCCAGTATATTTACTCTGGTGTCTATATCACAAGATTTGCTTTGCCTAGCACTGTTTTTGAGGTCACCTGAGAGTACCAGGAAATTTGGAAGCTTCTAGGAGCTTGTTTTATCTGTTGGGATCTTCACCGCAGGATTGGACAAAGCCTGGGTGGCTGACTGTAGAGGCTTTATGCAATGCAAATAGCAATAAATTACCGTACTATTCGTACTGGCCAGGTTCCATTCCTGGTTACTGGAAGGTACCAAGGTTGACGTTCGATCCCATCTTTGAAGCCCGCCGTTGGTTTGGACAACTGGTCTCTTTGGATTTTGCCCATCTTTAGATTGTAGTCGCCTGGAATGGGTGATGGACTTGTAGTCTAACGTGGCACTGTGACACTGCATTGCGGTTGCGGTTCCCCAGTTCGAATTTCGCATTTTTCGAAGTTTTTATTTTCCGAAATCCGAAACTGAGGTGATTTTTTCAACTCTGCAGTGCGTTGTCGTGTCTCCAGCGGTGACGTCTGCTGCGGTTTTGATGTTTGCGGGCGGCTGGGAGCTTCGTAAAGAACTTTGGTGGAAATTTTTTAAACATAGTCAAAAATGTTATAATCCGCACCGCGCCTTCTGGTTCTCGTGGAGGGTAGTTTGGGTCCCTTCGGACATGGATTTCTACTTTGGCCGAGATTGGCCCTGCGTTGAGTGATTGAACACGGGTCCTTAGTTTCAATTGAAAGGTTGAGCGAAAATTTAAAATAAACGCTTGTGACGACAATAAATATACATTTCGTAATTGCTAATTTAACTTATTTTGCATCATAATTTGTAGTAACCTGCTCAAGGAGAAAAGAAGAATGTGATTTGAAATTTATTTATAGAAAATATGTCACATAAACCAACATCAAATAAGTAACAGTGAACAATAACTTACATTTAAAGTATGTAAAATTTATATGTATACACTAAAAACTATTACTTTTAAACGATGAATCAAACAATAACAAAAGTATATGCATAAAAGTCAAAAGAAGAACATTAAAATCGCACAGAAAATTGAAAACACGGGTAAAAATATAATTTTCAACGCACTGAAAATAAATCACAAAGTGCCTACACCGCATGTGAGACTAGTAAGGATCGAAATCTTGATTCGATGGTTACAAATCGAGATAGAAATGACATCGAATATTGGTACACTTGAAAATTTTGCCATTGAAATAATAACGGCAACCTAATTGTTGCTCTCTCTGTTCAACTTTACAATATATGTGTTTATTCACTTCCAGCAATATGGTGCCTAACCTACACATTTGTGTAAAACACTATTAATTTGAGGCACATTCGAAAGGAACGTGAAATAATTATAAGCAGTAGGACACCTTTATAAATAATTATTGGTTTTATTTCTTGAAATAGTAACAGACATAGTAACATTTTTTGTCTCTCTTATTTGTGTCTATAAAAGAAAATTTAAATATCAAAAATTGTTTATTTCATGCAAATGTCATTTATTATTTCTTTTTCACATTACTGGAAGGGATTGTTTATTTTGTAAATATTTTTCTTTTGATTTTTAGGTGTTACAAAATTAAATTGAAAATAATCTAAAACTAAAGTAAATTAATTCATAAACGTTAACTTAGAATTCTCATAAACAGTTTTATGACATTATTTGAAATATATTTCTATTCAATAATAATAATCATTTATTTTCTTGTACCTTATCATTATTTATTATTTAAAATCATACAATTTAACCCGCGATTTAATCTATTTGTTTCAAATAAAAAGCTATTAAAAATTTATGTTTAAGAAATTGTAGTGTGTCTTATTCTCAAGAAACAACAAACAAAATTGGAAATATCGAAGCAACGTTTTTTTTCGGATTTGGCGAATGCGACAAAGAATGTCCAAAATTTAATTCTCTATAAGATGCACCGAATTGTTTTGTTATGGAGGAATCGAAAAATGCACGACAGCGCCATCTAGAAATATAAAGATAAAGAAAATATTTTTATGCCAAATTAAACCTTAAACTCTCCGCCTATGGTTAATCATGATTTAAAATAAGGTATTCTATTTTAAAATAATCATTTTAGCAAAACAACAAACAAACAAAAAGCAGTTTTCAATTATTTTTCCATTCACCCTTTATCAATTAGCAGCTAAGTACTGATGTGACAATTTTGCAATTTTATATGCCCGTTCATGAAGCACTATATCAAACAATAATTTATTCGAAAGAGCACCTAGTTCAGTTGAATGGAATTCAGGAACTATGCGCCAATACGCCTTTCGACATTTTTTTACATACTGTGTGTACGGGCACTTCTAATTAGAGTTCGGGTTTTTCGTCGGCTAGTCATAGGCGTGTTCGTCGTAAATAAATAAATAATATAAGTAAAAATAAATAAATTTGCGTATTTTATCAGCGAAAGGTAGTTTTTTACCCCTTGGCGTATTCGACATTATTAGAATATTAAGGCACGTATACACGAAGCAAACGTGAAATCAATAACTGCCATTATTACCGGTTTCGTATGGTGCGCTGTAGCGAAAGGCTAACTTTCGCAAATAATTGAAATTTAATTCTCAAATTTTGACCGCCATAATATTCAGTCCACTTATAATAAAGCAGTTAGCAGTTGTGCATGTTTCATTTGCACACACTGTATTACATATTTACACAATACTCTGTGACACATTTATGATAGAAATATATAAAAAGGTATTTATTATCCTATTTGCTTCGGTCTTTTCTTTAATAAAACTTCGAATTAAAACACTATTTAGTTATAGAACATTTATTTTTTAGCCATTAAAACTTGCTTATTTTTTTGTTGTCAAATTTAAATAAAATTTATTATGTGATGAGGATCCTAAAGAAATACGACAATAATGGCATTACCTGATAGCCACAGCAATCATCAACATCTTGTTTTCATCGCCTACTGAACTCAAAGTTTTAAATTCGTGACACTGCTACGCAAACCGAAACATGCATACCTGGAAATAATGCCATTTTTCTTAACAATGGCTTTCTGTAGGCGATTTCCTGAAGAGACAATATTTGTTTTAAATAAAACGACTTTTTCAATGTTGCTGCCCGTTTTAAAAAAATACGACCACTGTAAAAGTTTTGCCCGCTTAAAAGGGGGAGGTAACCGGAGAAAACTATCACCCAGTATATCGATTTGACTAAAGCTTTAAGAAATAATACGCCATAATACTCCAAATAAATGTGCCAAATAACGCGATCGGTAAACGGATTATGAAGTTATTAACAAAATTATTTTTATTTTTGACAACTGCAGGCTTGTAACTCAAAAACCAATAATTTTTATTTAACTTTTTTTTCGTAGATTGTATTTATTTATCGTTGTAAATATGCAGTCAAACGTTGGCGGTGAATTTTTGCGGACACCCTGTATAAAAACTTATCTAATTAATATATCCGATTTGTCTTATTCTTCTATTTTTATATGGTCAGTAAAACCATTTGCTTCTATATAACGCTTTTTCAAAGTTGTATATTTTATTCCTGAATTGAAACACTACATTTCCATAGTTCTACAGATAATGAAAATTAATATAAAAGGCAACTTTGTGAAAAAGTAACTGTTGTGAAAAGTATTTTAAGGGCTCTTAAGCGACTCTTTATTTTCTGTCTTTATTCATATGAGGATGGCCATCCTGTGTAAGAGGATGATAATACACCATTAAATTGTTAGAAAAAACAACAAAATTGATCTAGTTCAGCATTCACTGCGTGTTGCGACCGTTTTCCAGATGTTACAATTGTACAGGTCCCGTTGGGCCACCCGGTATATTGAAACAGCTGGGTAACGTTACTATGGTAACGTTTAAATTGTATTTGTAAATATTCGTCTATTCTAATTCGAGGAATTAAACGTTTTATTTCGCAAGGTATTAAAAATGACCCTTTACTCAACGAAATTAAAGATCAATGCAGCCTTTTAAGGCCAAATAGTGCAATAAGTAGGTACATTTTGCACTTTATTTATTAATTATTTTTGAGTATAATCTAACCTAGATATAAGAGGATCGGTCCTAGATCCAAACATTTCAACGTAAAGCGGTCTGAGGGAGAAATGAGGACATACCTGACAGAAAACTACCAGCTAGTGAATCATCTTGTGCTTGTACTCCTAAAAACAATATAAAGAGGATGATTTGTCTGGTCCTACACATGATAGCTACTTGTTGAATAATTAGCTAAGCACACACTACACAATTGAAATGATTTCACTAATTAAATGAAGACCACAACCATTGCATTCTTGTATAATCACAATAACTTATATATTAATATAGGTCTTATCACGCAATAGTCACCAACTATAGGATACCACAATTTAGAGTACCTTATTAGTTTTAATGGTAACCGCTGTCCACTGTCGAACTAGTGCTAGCGGTGCTTCACAGTTATCTTGAATCATCAAGAACGGGGCTTGGCCTTGACATGACGGTCAACGACCTGTATTACCTTCTGTTTTTGTGGCTAAACCTTAAATACACCTACACACCTTTTGATTATTTACTTGTAAGCGAAAAAAAAATGTATTTGTTACACTTGGTATCACCTACATTAACATCCTAATTGTAATTGTTTTAAAGAAATGTCAAGACAATAGCATTCAGCCGTATAAATTCAATGAACCGTCTAAAGGACATTAATTGTGAATAAAAGTTAAAAACATCCGCCTCTTAAAATTAGAAAGAAAGAAATCATCCTGTAGTCAATATACAAACATATTCATACCAAATAAAAATATCTTGAAAACCAAAGAGGTTACAAATATTTCAAGAAAATCTTTTTCGAAAAAGTACTAGATAATGCAGATTTTTTCATCAATTTGCAATTAAAAGTATTATAACGCCTAATTAACCTACATTATACAGAGCTTTCATAAATGGTTACAAGCACACAAAAAAAATGTCAAGACCCAAAGGGTAGACCCCCCTACCCCTCCGTTTTTGGGGTCGCTGAAACCGAACATGACAATAAAAAAATTTAACTAGCCATTTCCCCGTTACCACCCCGATACACCTCCTTCTGGGAGTTGAAATGTCAATTCTCATACAAAGTCGAGTAGGGTGTGTATTTTCTGGGCCACTAAGAACGAAGAAGACTACCAAAAATGAAATAGACCCCCTCGTTACCCCCTAGCGTCACTTTACCATCCACATACACCCCTTTATGAGGGTTGAAGTGTCAATTTTCATACAAAGTCAAGTGGGTTGTGTATGCCTACGTTTGCTAGGCTGCTGAAAACAAAGAAGACTACCGAAAATGAATCCAACACCCTCAGCACCCTTTGCCTCCCACATTTGTTTTCAGCAGCCTAGAAAACGTAGACGTACACAACCCACTCGACTCGTATGAAAATTAACACTTCAACCCCCATAAATGGGTGAATGGGGGTGGTAAAGTGACGCTAGGGGGTAACGAGGGGGTCTTATTCATTTTTGGTAGACTTCTTCGTTCTTAGTGGCCCAGAAAACAAAGGAATACTCGCCCTACTCGACTTTGTATGAGAATTGACATTTCAACTCCCAGAAAGGGGTGCACGGGGGTGGTAAAGAGACTCTAGGGGGTAACGAGGGGGTCTAATTCATTTTTGGTTGTCTTTTTCGTTCTTAGTAGCCCAGAATACACACCTTACTCGACTTTGTATGAGAATTGACATTTCAGCTCCCAGAAGGGGGTGTATGGGGGTGGTAATGGGGAAATGGCTAGTTAATTTTTTTTATGGTCATATTTGGTTTCAGCGACCCCAAAAACGGAGGGGTAGGGAGAACTACCCTCTGGGTCTTGACATTTTTTTTTTGTGTGCCTGTGATTATTAATGATTTTACTTTATTTATTTTAACCTTGTACTTTTGTATGTTTGTACCTTGTTTCCGACTGAAAATGTACTTTTGTGTATAAGAGTGTTCTATTATATTCTATTCTATCTATTAATTTATTGAAAAATAAACCACAACATATTTAAATAGTTTTTTAATTAAAAATTTAATCATTTAAAATTTATTTTACAGAACAGTAAATAAATGAATAATTTTTTTCATTCATACATTGTATAAACTTATAAACTAAAAAAAAATATAATTAAAAAATATAGGTGTGCTGTAAAAAGATGTAAAAAGGGTATATTAAACAATTTACCTTCTTACAATGAATCAGGAAAGAATGAAAAAACGTGAAAATAGTAATATCGTTTTCTGTGTGGTTTGTTTTGAATTGCTACCACCTTAAGCAACTCCAGGAGCATTGCTCACTCACACTGTTCTCAACCTCTCCCAGCACTGTGGCACTACGGCGAGCATCTGGAAGTGTCTGCATTCATTTGTGTCTCTAAACCATTTAGCTCCCCCTCGATATCCTTAGCGTCTTGCCGGGCTTGAAGAGCTTGAGAACTTATTGTTTGCAAATGTTTTTCAAGATCGTCTTGAAAAGCTGTCACTTGTTTAATGGCATCTCCAACACGATCTTGAAACAACATATTCACGCCGAAACTATCATCACCGGTTCCAACAGTTGGTTGAACATTTGGCAGAGTAATCTCGTTTACACTAATGCCGACACTTCCTAAAGGGCGTGATCTATCTCCAGTTTTACCGGATTTTGCACTGCACATAATCTAGATCTAGGCACTGCACCTTATTTTATGCCAATGGAGTTGCACAAATACACACAAAATAAAAGTTATTTCACAAAAATGTATACACACAAAGGGTAGCAATCGAAAAACGTTAACCACACGGAAACAATAAAGTAACGGTTTAGCATTGATCAGTGCCCTCCTCAAATCGTCCTCGTTGTTGATAGGTAGTAGATCTTGATCACTAGTGTTAATATATGAAATTAGAAAAGGTACGTCTCTCAAGTGATGCACGATGCACGCTTTGAATTAGATCGAGAAAATTTCCAAATTTTGGTTGGGAATTCCTTTCCACACAGAATCTTAATCATTTCAAAGATAATTGTCATTAAAATTTCGAGCATTAAATTATTGAAACCTAGGTTGGTTGTCTGTTTAATGTGAGCAATACTTGATATGATCCCAATTTTTTGGTATCGTTTATCGACGTTAGGTACATTTCGGTAAATAAACAATTATAAGGCTGCTGCCTATAACATACATTTATAACTTTTATTTATGATTGCGATAATTATAACATTGTCTATAATTTACACTCCATATGTCAAATAATCTTTACTTTAATATAAATGTGGAAATTTACTGACTTTTTACTTCTATTTTCCTACTGTCTACCAAAAGTTCTATAATAATCTTGTTTTGGTCAGTAAATGACACTAGAAAAGATGATGTCTTCCAATTGCACCACGAAAATCGTCAAATTTTCGCTGTGATATCTTCCCATGCAGAATTCCTGGTGTTGGGTATCAAACTGAAAATGAACAAGAACAGAAGAAACACATGTTACAAATATGAAAACAGTTACAGCCTCATCATTTAAAGAAATATTTTCGAATTTTCCAAAAAATTAGCTGAGAAAAATATGTACTTGTATATTTCAAATGTTCAAAAAAAAGTAGTATTTAATTAGAGTTCCGTTATGTTTTTTTTTAATTTTTAAAATGATATTTGCGCCTTAATTTAAACATAATTTTATATTACGTATATATATTTGAATTTGACGTAAGAAGACTTTAGAAAGTAACAAATATATCGTTTGAAATTCAGATGTGCTTCAAAAGGAGATATATAGGCATGTTAATTTGAATTATTTTCAGGTAAAAACTTATATAGGGTATTTTTTTGCATGAAACTAAATTTGTTTTGCTAGGAACTTCTCGCTTAGTGGACGTCTTATTTATTTGGGTGCGACATATTTCTTGAATGTCTTGAATAGTATGATGGTTTTCAGGTTACTTATATACCTATTCGCCGCCAGGCTTACATTGCGCTCCTTTAACCTTATGGGGTGGTTATAAAAAAGTACCAACTAATCTTAGAGTCAAAAACAGTTTTAGGGTAATATTAAAATATGTTATTTCCTGGTGTCATATTCAGAAGGTTCTATCTCAGTAGACGTTGACTTTTGTATGAAGTGAGTTGACTTAAATCGTCGTCAAATAAATAATAAAAAGTCTCTGCGGTCTTATGTTACAATGGGTACACAATTACTTGATAAATATACCTAAACTAATAGCATAAATGTGTATTACTGCTTTGTTTCATCATAACAACATTGAGTCTTAGAAAAAATTTTTATTTACAACAAAAATCCAAAGTAACACGTTACACATACCTAAAACAAATTTTACACTGCTTAAAAAAATTAAAATCCAATGTGACGCCCAAAAAAAGTTAATTTAATTATCTTAAAAACAATGACAATGGGTGTACTTACTCAAATAAATAGAACACCAAAATATTTTGACAAGCTGTATGTTTGGATATATTAATAAAATATGTGAATAAATATAATAAATAAAAAAAAATAAAAAATTATTTAGAAGACAGTTAATTTTAAATTTAGTAAATAAATGTGTAAAACTTACGTTTTGTATGTGCTTAATTAAGGGATCAAGGGCCAGAACACTTCACAACACAACTAAATATATGTACACTACTGGAAAATTGCAAAGTATGACTTGCTACTAGCTACGTTTGAAATAAAATTAATTTCCTAAATTTTATCTCATAGCCTTTACCCAGATTAATTCAAATTAATTTGAGGCATTTGGCCTTTATCGGGGAGGGTAGGATTAAGCAGGTACCTTCTAGGGAGGTAGCATATTTAGGTACAATTTCCTGGAATTTAGAAATATCTTAGTATTAAACGCTTTAAATCGGTTCAGTGATGAATACAGAGTACGCAAAATATTTTTATATTATGTACCAAAATTTAAGAAGCTGTACTAGCGACTTATCTGAATTTATCAAAACACGTTCAAAATGTTTACCAAAATATAATTTGCATTTAAAAAAAAATGCCGTTATTTTTCAGAAAAATGTAAACAGAATCAATTTCTTCACATCAATTTATAACGCGAAATTAAGCAATTATCGTAAACAATAATTTATCGTAAATATTTTTTAGTATTTTTGGAAGTAGTGATAAGTTTCCATGCTATTTTATGTGTTGACTTAATGTGATTATATGTATTTTCACTAAAATTATGGCTGATTTGCAAGACATTTATTGACATATTCGTATTTTTTACGTTAAACGATAACTAAACATAACGTTCACAGTTCATTTTGG